AGAGGCGACAAAAACAAATGAACTGTCACCTGGAGTATGGATAAGTAAAATATTAAGTGTACCGAAAAACTCCGTCCGTTTTGATATCAACAATTTTCGACAGATAGGCACATCTCTATTTGACGGAAATCTAGCTTATGTTTCTACCGTTGAATGTATACCAGCTGATCTTGCACATGAACTATAAGGAAAACGGTGCGTGTTAGAATATGGGATAACGTATTCATGGATACTGGTGACGTACCTACATATATTCATGCGCATTTTGTAAGAATTCCAACAATAAATGTTTCGGAAGTGTGTTGACGTTTTTTATACCGAATCAGCCGCGTAGGCCTAAATACCGGCAGGGTTATTATGTAAAAAATCTATATGATGTTAAAATAATTATTTTACTCGTACCAATTATAATTTGTACGAGTAATATGGAAACTTGTGCACCAGATATCCGCTAGTATCCCGCTTGTTTAATCCGCGCCTACTACCCGTGAGGATGAAGCTAGTTCATAGGTCACAATACCATAAAAAATCACTTTTTAAGTTATGGAATGTGGGTGTCGGGCACCGCGGCTGCAATGAGCTTAAAGAAACTTTGTTAATCCGATTTATGAACTGCCTAATATTAGTAGAATTGGGAAAAGCCTCCTGAGGTAGATTGTCCCACAATTCCGACACCCTAGCGATAAAGGAGCGGTTGTACTGGCCAGTTCTGGATGTAAGAAGTTTAACAGGGTTAGGATGGGAGGCCGGAGTCACATAACACCTACTTCATAAAAGAAAGGTAAATGAGTGACTTGTATAGTTAGTACGGAGTACAACCACAGAGTGGGGCTGATGCTGGATTTTCCCGTCGTTCTTTTTGACAGTCCAATGTTTTTGACGTTAATGTATTCGTAATTTTGAATAGAAAGTTCAATTTTGTGCGGTCAGCAATAATCAATATATAAATAATATCTATAAAATAGTTAATTGAAATGATGTTTTACCTGTTCACATCAGGGTATTTTTTTGCTAATAAAAGAGGTGGCTTCCGGCAATACCAGCCGCAAAGCAGCTTCGAGCAAAGCTGGAGGAGTGTATGGTGATTCTCCGTGATGTCTCCCACGCTGAAGATTAAAATCCCATAAGAAAATGGAAGGAGTAGCACCTAAACCAAAACAACTAAACTTATGAAGGGGTACTACTCCTTTAACCGGTGTTCGGCACCTTATATCTCAGAATCTGGAGATCAAGCAAACAGCGCTCACACCACAATCTCAGGAGGAAAGTGACTGACACGAAACACGAAACTTTATAAAGGAAGGTTCAATGAGTGGCCTTGAAGAAGATACGTTCAACAGGAAACCAAGTAACGGAGAAAACCCATATTTTTTTTCCAACACAATACTGAATCACTGAGAAAAAAAGATATAATGCGTGTGAAATAATACAATCAGCAAACAATGAAATTTACCAAAAGAAAGTCATTAAAAAGGGTTTGGCCTAGGAATGGGCACTCTATCATTAATAAAAGAAACTCAAATTACTTAAGTGATCAAAATATTAAAAAAAAGTTTACGTGATTTTGGCACGCGACAACCTCCCCTCTCCTTGGAGTAGGAGAGTATCTACAGAGCAGATAACCGACGATAACAAATAATGCTGAGCTACCAATAACCTACACAGGCAAGAATCAAACTGACTATATTTAATCCTAGCTCACGCAAAAAAATCCCACCCAAAAGAAAATACTCTAAACCTAAGTATACGAAACAACACTGAAGGTCAGTATCCGTCTAAAAGGCCAAAATCTGGTATAAAAAGTCAAAATCAGGCGATAACAAGATCAATATCAGGAAATGAGCTATGACACATTGCCACGCCTTTTTTTTGGTTAATTAATAAAACACAATGATAAATGCTATCTAACGGTTGGTCCAAGCAAAACAGTTGTCTAGTGGCGTGCAAATTTAGGCCCTAGCTCAATAAAGCGGAGAGTAGGGGTGGGTTAAGAGCGCCAGTGACAGGACGGATTAAGCCACAACTCCCCGAGATGTTAGTCGGAACTTGACCACCACACAAAAGGAGAATCTAACAGAGATGACGAAATTTAAGTAACAGTACACACAGAGAGAGAGAGAGAGAGAAATAAACAAGATATCAAATGGATCACAATATATTGATTAAAAAGAACAAAACGCACATATGCTCCACCAATGGAGTGCGAGAAAGTATATTAAAAAAATTGTCGCAAAATAAAATTAGTTGGCGTTTACCATGGTATACGCTTTACATATGACTTTGAAGTTGAGTCATTAATTTTCCGATAATGATTGTAGAAGGAAGATAAACCAAAATATGTGTGTAAAAATAGAAAAAAATTAAAAAAAAATGTTACCTTGTTTTATAAAGTATCCTCCCGACAAGTATTTCAGCGCGGACCTGTATTTGATCGTGCGGTCTTGGAGCACCGGCATGCGCCTCCCCTGTGAGGTCTTAAGTCACCTGATTCACGAGCCCTTTGTACTACATTAACAAAGGTACGAGGGGTTGGTTGCACTCGATTGGGAAACCGATTCGCATAAATCCGTGATGCCGCGGCAGCATTTTGTAAATAAGAATCATGTCCACAAGTTCACCATTTTCGTAAACATGTGCCATTTTTTATTTCGTTTGAGCCTCGCAACAAACACCACTATTCACTCACGCGTTACCGACTGACACATTGACTGATTACAACTAAAAACATCCTGATAAGCGTTTCGAATACTTTCGCTTTTTTGTTTCCGATGCGATGAACCGATAAGGCGGATTATATCCGTTGTTGCCAAACACGAGCACATAATATTATTATTGAGACAGGGCGGTACTCAAACTTCTAAAGAGCTATAACTTTGTTACTTAATTTTACCAGAAAAATGTTAAAGGAAAAAAAACATTTCTTTTGATCAGATCTACTCACTGTTACAATAAATGACAACTTCGAAGTCACCCTGTATGTTTTACGCCTAAACTACACTTATCTGGGCGGAAGTCTTCTCCCAGTTTTGGCTAGGCGGAGCCGAGATGTATCCCAGGTCTGAAAGAACGAAAAAAAGGCAGCCAATAGTGGGCATGTCACTGGGCAGGGGCTGCTTGCCTCGGTCCCAAAAATTATGAGGGTAACAGAAAAAAAAGAAAAAGACCCTAGAGAGAGAGAAAGACTGTTTAAAAATCTACTCTACTCTCTGTCTGCGATAAAACTACTCATTAAAAACAATCGCACTTGAAGCGAAACCATATACGTATACATTTTTTCGTATAAGAAAAGTAAAGCCAAGGCAAAAAAAAAAGATAAATATGTACTAAACTAATATACCCTTGTTCTAAAAAGTTATAACAGCTCCAAAATCAAAATCATGATCAATGTAATAGAAGCTGCCATGTAGGCATTGCCCCCATATTTGAATACGTAGAATGTCTAATAAAATCAAGAATTTCAATAAGTAATAATAAATGTATAAAGATCTATGAAATTTTTAATTCGAATGATACTTTACCTGTTCACATCAGGGTTTTTTCGAGAGGATGGCTTCCAATTTGCAAGGCTGCAACGATGCAACTGACTGGAGGAGAAAAGGCGAGGATTTTCTTCTGTTTCTATTGACAAAAAGAAAGCAGATATTGAGTGCACGTCATCAGGACACGCATTAAGGCACGCGGTCCGAAGGTATATAAAAAAGAACTTACCACTGAGGGTCAAAATCCCATAAAAAAATGGAAGACGTAGCACCCAAAATAACTAAACTCAAGTCACACAACAAAAGAAAAGGGTGCTAGCCTATGAATGGGTGCTTGGGACTTAATATCCCAGAGTCTGGAAAAAGACAAAAAGACCACTGCACCACGACCTCAACGAAACTGAAAAGCGAATCACGCAAAATAAGTAACGTTCTAGATCTAGAAGAAGAAATGTTGAGTGGCCTTGAAGAAGATATGTTTTATAGGAAGCCAACTAACGGAGAAAAGCTGCAGAGTTTTTTGCTGAGAAAGAAATATATAGATATAATACGAGTGAAATTACATAATCAATAAACTATTAAATTTGCAAAAAGAAAATCTTTGAAAGGGGGTTTGGCCTAGGAATGGCCACTCTATTATTAATGAAGAGAAATTCAAATTACTCATAAGTGATAAATAGAAAAAAAAGGTTACGTGATTTTGGCACGTGACAACATCTAAAATCATGAATCAACAAAAGCAAGAAAATATAACTTAAACGAACTTAAAGGTAACTAATATTTAATCACAAAGATAAAAGATAGTTGAAATAGGTAAATTAGATCAAGGCATGAATAAGTCAAATTTATTATAATATTCAGAAGTCTCAGAATAGAACAAATTGTATTTCCACTTGTCATCAAGGTTTCCGCCAAGCTATCTGCCCATACCCAACAAATTGTCCACCCTACAGGGCAGAGCGTAAGACAAGACAAGATAAACTAACGTAATGGAATAGTTATACTGAACAAAGCGAGTTATCAATCGACAAACTCCCATCCTCCTTTACATAGATGGATGAATGTGACAAGGTGAGACAAGAGTAAGCAACTAATCCCTATAGAAAAAAGATAATATCATTCAGTATATTGCATAACCTAAATCACCACTTAACAGTACGAACAAATATATAGAAAAATCCAACAATTAAAACTCAACACGGTAGAGTTTTACTTATCTTAGCCAGGTTGTTCGGATGGTAAAGCTCAGATGATATGTGTCGTGTTTGGGGTTCTGCTGAAAATTCATAGTTTTGAGTGGTACAAAGTGGCCAAAAAATTTGGAATTTTCGTCCAAATATTAGTAATAAGTGCAGTTAACAATCCTGTGAAGTGAGACCTGCATGCAATCGACTTCAACGAAGTTACTTGAAATCTTCTTTATTTTATATCGAACCAACGTAAGAAGTCACATTTTTGCGACACATTCTGTGAGAATACAAGGACTAGTAGCTTAGTTTTTTTTTTATTATTGTCATAATCATGAGTAAATGTCTGATGTGTTCTGACAAGGGACCTATTCTGTTGAAGAATGCTGTTCAATGTAAATCTTGCTCTATATATTATCATAAGTCATGTGGTAACAGGGCAAAGTTGTTGCCCGATGGAAGTTATAATTACTATTGTGGTACTGGTGGTCAAGTTCATGATGAAGATTTTGCTAGACTAGATCCTGGATTTCAACTTATTTTGAAAAGGCTTGACAAAGTAAATGCGCCATTGAGTGCAATTAAGTCAGATATTCAATCCTCCAGCAACAAGCTAACAGAACTTGAAAAAAGGTTGATACATTTGAAGAGATTGTTACTGGTGAGTCTTTATGTGATGAAATTAAAGATAGGATGAATAGAGAGAAGAACTTTATTATATATAACTTTGATGACTCAGTGAACGCAGCTGCTACTGATTCTGTGAAAATAAAGAAATTGCTCGAGGATACAAAGCTTGTTATTCCATTTAACTTTGATGATCTTAAAGTTTTTCGACTTGGACGTGATTTTGTTGAAGGAAAGAATAGATTAGTCAAAGTTGTTATGAAATCCTCTGATAATGTACACTGAATTTATCATCATAGTAGTGAAATTTTTAAAAATAATGTTTTGTCAGTAGTGATCTTACAAAAAAACAACAAGCTCACATGCAAAAAATTAAAAATGAAGTGAAGCATAGATCTGACAAGGGAGAAAAGGATTTAAAAATTAAAGATATCAGAGGTAAACCAACGATTGTTAAATCTATTGTTGCTGATAATCAATTAAATGAAAATGATGAAGATACTGAATGACTATATGATAGTTACCATAATTTGAGGATTTTTTACCAAAATATTCGTAGTGTCAGAGGAAGGCTTGATGAGTTTTACTCCAGATTATGTCTTATTAATGAATATGACATTATAGTTTTGACTGAAACTTGGCTTGATGAAGACATTACTACTGCTGAATTACAACGCTAAGATCTTACTGTGTACAGATGTGACAGGTCTTTATTTACAAGTGTGAAGAAATCTGGTGGTGGTGTTTTGATTGCAGTCAAAAAATTTATTAAGTATTTAAATGTTATTTTAGTTAATAACTCTTATGAACAAGTTATTGTGCGCATAAAAACTCATGCAAAGTCATTTTTCATTAGTGTGGTCTATATACCACCCCTTCTAGGAGCAGGATTGATGTTTTATTTGCTTATAATTTATTTAATAACATTATTGATAATTTCAGTTTATTGTCAAAATTCAGATTTTATATGCCACCAAGAATGTTAAGACGTAATAATGTTTATTTTCATGTTATGCCACCGAAATCAGATCTGATAAATCATTCTCCTGTTTTTAGATTATCTAAACTATGTAATGAACACAGTAGTTGGCTTGATTTGTATAATTCGAGTAATTATATTGTTAGAAATTTATCAAGATCTATGTTTACATTTGAGTAGTCTTTTGATTTTGTAATATTTGAATTTATGATTACTAGATTATTGCATTTCCTCATTTGAAAATCTGTATTAAATTTCGCAGATGATTATGTTAATCTCAGTTGATTGCCTTATATACTATTATATGTTACTGTTACCACATATGTAGCCCCACTTACGCGACGTTTGCGGTACATTTTTCTATTTATAATACTCATGTATAATGGGTTCGCCCGTAAGTTGAATAAATAAATAAATAAATAAATAAATAAATAAATAAATAAATAAATAAATAAATAAATAAATAAATAAATAAATAAATAAATAAATAATAAATATATATATATATATATATATATAAAGTGTGGACTCATGATGGACTTTTACCACCGGCAGTTTTCCGCCACGGTCAAATTCTAAGAAAGTCATTGAAAACTGTTTGGCCTAGGAATGGGCACTCTATCCTTAATAAAGAGAAATTCAAATTATTAGTAAGTGATCAAAATCGTAAAAAATAAGGTTACGTGATTTTGGCACGTGACAGGTGATCTGGACTCCGATCAGCCGAAGTGAATGCCTCTTTGATAGAATCCGGCCATCCATCGAAACCAGATAAACGCTAGGGTGTTTCTTGTTAGTCAAGGTACAGTACTATTTGGAAGCATTAAGCACCAGATTGTTGTGTCCCCAAGCAATAATAACCTCACAATCCCTTGTTAGAGAATCATTGCATGAAGAGTGCTGTCATCCGCAAGTCTGTGAAACGGATTGATTGCACAGGAGAGGAGATGGTTGATAAGTAATCAATCGAATCCCTGGGGAACACTCGGGCTGACATTGTGGGATGAAGAGGAGAACCCATCAATTACGATGGATATTTTGCGACCAGAGGAAAAGTCAGCCACCCATCCTAAAGCCTCTCTGGATGCCACTACACGCAGCAGATGCTTAAAAAATTCAAACCAGGGATTTGGAACTGTGTCATAGGCCACGCTGTGTACGATCTTCTTTGATCGACGACAAAACTGCTATATTGATCAGCACTTCGTCAACTTGTAGGATAAAATGGGGTGCGTTTGAGAATTAGTGCCGTGTGACGCTTCGGTCAGTTAATATCAGATGTTTCATTATTATACTAACCATAGTCAAAAGCAAAAGACTGGCTGGAGAAGGACAGACAGATCAAGAATAGAAGAGTGGATAAAATGCTTTTCGCTTCAACAAGATCATCAAGTGACATTTGAAGATATAATAACGAGATGAAAAGCAGATCATACAGAAATGGATGCTCCAGGAGATAATGGATTATCCTTTTTTCGGATATCATGTTTGGCCCTTTAATCACAGTGGTAACAAGATTGAACAATTTTGAACTCAGCATCTTTTTTTTCACAAAAATCTTGTTTGAAAAAATCGGATAGCGATTCGATCCAATAAGAACTTCACGTTCATATGCAAAATTTCTTATCTTTTATCCCAAAAACAAACCAATTATGCGAGAGCTAAGAATGAAAGTTTTACATACGAATGTATGGATATTCGGGATACTTTAGTTAATTTGAAATTTCGGAGTATTCATCGACAATATAATCTTCAAATACCGCACCGATAGAGGTTCAGAGGGCAACATAGAGTAAATAGAGCCAGCCATCCAGGCACCTTGCCGTTAAACTCCTAACAGCTTAATAATCAAAGCAAAACTTTCCGGGGCGCTTCGGTCATATCACAGTACCAGAACATTCCCATTAATAGTTGGATAATTTGAATACTAACGTCATGTGGAATCTAATCCTTTATATGCCTTAATCGCGTCTATCCCACAGGATACAGGACCATGTTAGTTTACGCTACTATTCAGAATTTCCGCTGCCGGGGTATCAAGCGTGTTTGGTTACATTTACATATACTCATGTCTAATTTACCTATTTAAACGAAATACCAGGTTCTTTGGTACGATAATCATAATTGAGGAGCTTGAGGCAAGAAGGGATTTGGGCAGATGACCTTATTTTGGAAAATTTGAAGTTTTATGTAAATACTGAAATCACGTTTATAGTTTAATTTTGATTGAACTGCTCCATTAGGACTATATTTGGAGAAACTATGATTTGATGACGATGAAACCGGAAAAAGGTATCTTTGTGAACACAGCACTGAAAGTCTGGCAAAAAGAGGATAGTCTTGACTGACAAGTTTAGATACAAGTATAACGTTATATGACTCAAGTGTCTGCCAAATCAAACCACATATATGTTTTAATCTCTGTTTATTGTCCGACATTTCGGCCATAACTGTAGCCTATTTCAAGTTCAGTGATAAATAATTATTGGCCAACACTTCGTACAATAAACAAAAATTTAAACATATATGATTTGATTCAGCTAGACAATGGAATCCTATGAACATGAAAACCGTATGATACGTTTCAGGAGTTACATAAGTATAAATTTCCTGACGATGCAATCACTACGCAAATAAAGTATAATAATAATAACAATGCCTTTATTGATCACGCCGCAGGGCGAAGTTCAGCCAGCTGGATACTCTATACTCATTACCATATGCTTAAAGAAATTAACAAAATCAGTCGTATTTACAAGGTAGGTAAGGCTTGAAGATAAAATAAGACTATGAATAAGCAGTAACAAAAGAAAAAAAAACAATATGTTAAGCTCAAAAAATAAAACAGGGACAACAAAATTTTGCATTAATATGCTATGGTTAATAAACATGATGAGCTTGACTGAAATTTAACATCCAAAATTATGAGAAATTTAAAACTTTATTGACTAGTTTTGCTAAGAAATCTCAGAAGATGGATCCTGGTGCCTCTTTCGAATGCAAGTAGACCTTTGCTTTTGTGAGTACGAATAACAGTATCATAAGCTATGATGGAAAATGTGTAGTTTTATAACTAGGTATGTTGAAGTTGGGATTATGCCTAAGCTTTCTGATATCAAGATCACCAGCTTTTAGAAGATAAGAAGATTGTATCGAATTCTCGGGTCTAAGATGAACACATGATATGTAATAAGTCGGTTAACCCCCAACCATCATTGATCTTTTGAGATACATGGCTGAACCTTCACAGACCATAATCGAACCTACAGCAGTTTGTTTGAATTTTTGTATTTAAGCAACAATCGCATATTTATATTAACGACAACATCAAAGGTTCAGCTAGGTTTTGTGAATTTCGAAGTTCAAAATATGTCGATTGTAGTATACAATCTTCAAACGCATGTATGTTAATCTAGATAAATTTATAACATGTCGCTTAAACCTCAACTCTGAATCTATAATGGCTCATAAATTCAGGTGAGAAAGAACGTTTGTTGTTGGTTCATATCAAACACTCAAAAATGCTAATATTATTCATCAGGAACCACTCCAAAGAACAAAGTTGTAATCTCTTTTCTAGACAATCAATCATACGGGGAAATCCATTAATTAATAACGAATAGGTGACAAAACTATTGATCGATATGAAACACTTCTAGTCCGGGAAGTATATTCGCATCTAATGGGAAAATATTCCGATTCGGATGTTTTGCATATCGTTGCCAGGCCCAAATTCGTTTCAATTAATTTTTTAAACACTGTTATTTTTTACGCCTACTGGCAGGGAAGTATTGTAATTGCAAAAACTTCCGAAAATGAGATATTATGTCGTTTGGATGTTATATGACATGTACATCCTGAAAGACCGTGTCATACATTTCCATTGGACTGTCTGTCGGTCTGTCCGCTAATCCTATAAAATCGGCTATAACTTGAGAAGTACCGCAAATTTTTAGTTTTTGAAAATCGGTCCAGTGACAGCAAAGAGAAAAACGCCAAAAAACGAAAAAGAATGGAAGTCGCTGAAATTTTGCTTTTGTACGTTTCAAAGGATTCAGATCATTTCTGAAAAAAAATTTTCAGAGGTAAAACACTTGGGAATGGGGGTTCTAGCGGGGTGGAGATGGTTTATCTCAATTTTCCGACGTTACTACATTTATACGCTCCCTATCTTGGTAATTCCACGGACCCATTAGACATATTTCACACATTAGATTTCACCGCATATTAGCCCTTAACTTAAAAAAATATATTCTCAGCAGACGGATCGCATACCTACCGGCCACGGCTGGTCCTTCCGTGCCACCGGCCTTGGTCGCTAGTGCTTTCTACACGCGCTATTAGGAAAATAATGTCTATGGACTGATTGTATGGTTCTGTTCCACTAACTTATCTCTCAGATTGTTCTGTTTGTGCTGGACATAATCCTTTATGAACTGATAACGGCGTTGCGTGGGAAATGCAGAGTCAACCTACTTGTCAACAACAAATTGCAAAAGTTGTTTTTTTTTTCTCCTACCTGGTCAGTGATATTTGGATGTATTTGTACTGCAGCGCGCACATGATTAACACTTAAAAAAGCAAAGGTTTTCAATAATAATACCAGCTTAAATGCTCCGGGATTTTGTTAATGGATACATAAGGAATATTAAGGAAGTTCTGCA